CGACCCGAAGGGAGAAGCGGTCAAGGAAAATGAAAATGAAGTAGAATTTGTATTAGGCTTGAAACACTATGGAGCCGTGGCTTACTTCAATGACTTCCTGTGCATTCGAAAGCACCGTTGAAAGATCGCCCGTAAAAACTACTCTACGGCCATTAGATGACCTATAAGGTATTGGTCACTATAAGTTTTTTTCAGTGATGTGAACCACCATTCAATCACATGCATGACATTTAATAAACTATGATTTCTTAACGGTGTAAATTGAAAACTAATGCGCGTATGATGACTAGTGAACATGGATCAATTGCGAACCAGCATGTCAGGCAAATTACTGATAATTTCACTTTGCAAAAATGATGATTATGGTGATTAAGAGTAATGTCCCCGCGTAAAACAATCAATTTAAATTTTTAAATTGCAGCATTCCATAAATATTACAATACAACAGACTCTGTTTTTAAAGTTTAGCGAAAAACATGATGCATATGCATGGAATACTAATAAAACGAAGGTATCTATGTGGCATAAAATGCATAAATATGCATATGAATGTATAGGTATATTTACATATATTACACAGAATAGATTAAATTCTTCACATAATAGGTAATAACAAACTAAGTCAAAAACAATTTTTGACACAAACTTGAATGCACCCCCGCCAATTTCTGGGAACGGTAGTAGGCCGGCAATACATCGTGATGAATATCCTAGAGTGACTGAGGTTTCGCAAATATAACGATGACGAAAAGGCCATCAACTTTTGAATTCCTTATGCTTTGCTGCGTACTGCAATCACGACTCCCTCTTCATTAGCCTTCTATCTCAGAGCATATATTTCTGCTTTGCGATAAAATATTTTCGTTGATAAAATTTTGAAATTCAACGCTGTTTCGTCCATGTGATAGTCCTGTTTCGAACTAAGCCTCTCCTTTTTCATAAATAACTTAAACCTGGTCATAAGATTGCGAGATGTACCTTCCTCGGCTGGTAACTTCTCCCAAAATGCTTAAAAAATGAATTCCATAACTCTGTTTCCACCGTTTAATCCAATCATCGCTGGCAGTGAATTTTTGCTTGTATTTTTTTTGTGGAACAGGAATATGAACACTTTACGCTTCAACAATCGTTCACTGAGCGAGGTTCCTCAACGCCTTCCTGTACGAACCACGTCCACAATGCATCATTCTGCTTTTCGAGTTCTGATTTTCGAATTTCGATTTTCGAACGCAACACTTTATTCCATCCACTTACATAGTAAAACTTTTTCAATCCCGGAGAGTAATTTCCCCAACTCTCTGGTCCTTGGCAATTTTAAACATGGATTCCCGTTTATCCAATCTGTCGAGCACGCTAAGTTTATCACTCACAGTAAAAAAACTATTTTTACTTTTCATTAGCTACAAAGTCGACAAAAAATACATGCAACACTGCGCCGTTCAATTAAATTAACAGAGTTATAATTTTAAAGGGTGAGTGAAAATAACACGCTAACAAGTCAAACATGTGAAAACATGAATTGTAACACGCGCACTTACTTCATTTCTGATTTAAGCACTGTACAATACAGAAAAACAGGAAAAAATGAAAAGTCAAAAGACCGCGCATTATTCGGCGCTGCCAATTAAGGAGTGGCAAATGAACGAGAGTGTACTGCATTCTCCTTCAACACGCAAGCTACGCGAGCGTGGTTTCTAGCATGAAGATTTACTTTCGGATAAGGATTCATCTAGCAGATAAACATACTGCAGCTGTGGCTGACTCTACAGTTAGGGAAGCCGGAAATACCTTGAAAAACAATGATTTAAACATTATAACATCAGTTAAACGCTGCATCTCAGCGCCTATGATCCTGACTAAAATCAAACCGATTTCATAAATAATCCTCAAACATTTTAACGCCTTTTATGTCTACTGCAGAGACAAAAGCTGAAGTTTCACTGTCACCTCCTCAGCCAAAGTCAAATGGTTGCCTACCGAGCACAAAATTTCCGACAGAATGTAAGTCTAGCTAGCAGTTTATGACAAAAGATGAGGGTTTCAAATGATAAAATGACGCAGAACTTAATAAACCGACGGTGCAATATTTTCGTTTTGTTCGGTTCGATGGCGGATTAGTTGTTACTCTTGCGTTTACACTCTACTGTTTACAGTAGAGGCCTGCTAAATTGACAGAGGCCAGGTGAGGTGCATTAAGCAAACTGCCGGCAGTGTTTCTACCTATTCTATCAAATTAAATGAAAGGGCTTATCAAAACGTCAATAACTTTAAATTTCCTTTTTTGAGAAGCAATCAGGCGCCTCTTTATTAGGGGCATGAATTGATGATGAACGCAAATGTCGCATAAGTTTGTCACCACTGGTAAAGCTATTAACAAACAGACCTGTCTGACGTGCCATCATCAATGGCTGATAACATTTTGATAGAGAGCTTCATCGGTGTTTCATTTTTTCATAAAAACCCAGACAGAAACCAGGGTATACATGGGCGTAACGACTTGGGCGAGCAGGATTCGTCTAATGCCGCCACTGCCAAAGGTTACACACAATTTTGCGCAGCGATCCTAACCACGATCATGCATGATTGATAATTACTATAGTTATCAGAGTATGTAAAGTATCTGCCACTGAAGTAGTCGATCAACTCAAAATAGAAAAATAATTTATACAACAGAATAACAGTCAGGAACTAGCATTCAAATTCCCAAAGTTAACTGTTTCTGTCTTACGGATTTTTAGTAGTTTTGTAAAGGAACAGCAGGATCGACCAATGGCCAAATTTACTCACAGCCTTCTGACACATTACAGACACGTTCAGGACTGAAACTGATCCGAACCGATTTTTGAGAAAAAAATTGTTCTCATCTTCACTGTTACAAGTTAAAAAAACACAGCGTCAGCTGCCACCCACCTGATACGAGTTCCACGGCCTAACGTGTTGCCCCTTGGATCTTTGGCCACTTGAAACGAACCAGCATCCGACTCCCATATGTACTGGTCGTCATTATAAGACTTCGACGTCACTGCAAAGGTGGGTAAAAATTTGTTCATCGCTGCCAATATTCGGCTCAAAACTGAACGACATACCGACGACGCGATCAGCCACCAGGAAGCTTGAGTAAAAGCCAACTCCAAACTGCCCAATCAAATTCTCCATTTTGGATGCAGTCATGTCTTCCTGATTGCTCAGGAAATTAAAAGTGCCGGAATGCGCGATCGTCCCCAAGTTGTTAATCAGCTCTGTTCGATTCATTCCAATGCCAGTATCAGTGATATGCAAAACGTTATTTTCTTTGTCCGCCTTAAAACTCGAGCATAGGCAAAAGAAATGCGCTGTAATAGCCTCCATAAAAATTTTCACGTACTTTTATTCGTATATTCAACTCCGCATTGGAGCCAAGCATCGAAGGATCGGTCAGCGACAACAACCTGATTTTGTCCAGGGCATCAGATGCGTTTGAAATCAGTTCTCGCAAAAATACCTACAACAAAATTTATCCGATACGCCTCGTTACTAGCAACAGTAACATAATCAGGACTGAATGAATGAAAATCAAA